CCCCAAAACCCCAAAACCCCAAAACCCCATATTATAATGTTTAGATTTAATATTAAAAAATTAATACTTTATAACAATTTGATTTAATTTAATTTATAAATGATTCATAGTAATTTAGATTTCCTCTCAAACAAATCAGACTTTAAGAAATCTTTGTAAAGGAATTGGTACCTGACCACGCTATCTTTGTGCTGCATGATCATTTCATCCTCATTCTTGAACTTATTGTCAAACATCTTCTGCGACTCCTTCATCAACTCCTCTTCTTCTTTAATGATCTCCTCCATCAGCTGTTCATCTCTAGTCTACTCGTATGCTTACTGAGCCATGACTATCAAACTCTGTCTGTTCTCAGGATACCTCGGCATGTCAATGGGGTCGATGATCCTAAACACCTCTATTTCCTCAAACTCCCACTTGTCTCTCCTGCCTGCTAGGAATTTATCCACATCCTAGCCAAGTCTGGCTGGCATTTGGTAGCTATACATTGCTGACTCGCACTTCTTCAAATCAATTAAATTTATGCACAAATCGAATCCCGATCCAAATGCTAGCTGCGTCCTTGAGTGATACACTGCCTAGCCATCTTTACCCTCCCTTATGTTTAGCTTCATAGGCTCTCTACCATTATTATCAGTTACTGTAAATAAGAAGGCCTTATTAGTCTATTTCCAGTTGTTATCTAATTCATCACTCCAAGATAATGGACTGTAGCCTCCAAATATATTACCGTTATTAGCTTTAATCAGAATGAGAGTGGGTCCCTTGTCATAAACAAGATTTCTGAAGGTTTAACCCATGAGTTTATGCTCTGACAGTCTGTATAGCATTGAGGCTTGAGTGAAGTTAGGCAAACACTGTAAGATCATATCATACTGACAATCTTCTGGTAATATCTTAGAATTCTGAAGTGGATTGATAATCTATCTAAGATTTGGTCTGATAGTTTAGAACTTGCTTTGAATGCTTTGCCTGCACTGCTCTGCAATCCTGAGTATCTCATCATTCTTAGGATGTTCCAACTTAATCCACACCTTCTACTCCTCAGGAAACTAAATTCCAGATGAAATGTTTTTAAGGAATATGTTTGTGGTCTTAAACAGCTTCAGAGTCTCGTAAAGAGACTTTGGCTGTACTTGCTCTATCTCTACCAATTCATCTTTATAGAAATTCAGTGAGTTCAACTAAACCACTAAGTCCTTGTCAAGCTGTTCATAGAGTTCTTTGCAGGACTTCTTCTTTTCTTCTTACACTTTCTACAACTCTTTGATAATGTTTTCAATGTATGAATCAATTCTCTTCTCAGAAGTTTCAAGGTCCTATCCTCGCATATTTAATATAATTTTATAAAGTATACCTTTTTGAACTAAACTCTACAGTTGTTAAGGTAATTTAGTCTGCGGTCAACGAATTGCTTAATGCTAAGCAATAAGCCTAAGTTTTCTTTATACTCGATTCTTAGCTTCCTGTAAGCCTCTTCTAGTGAAACTACCTTGTGACCTCGATGGACATCTGAGTAGTTAAAGTGGTGACACATCCAGCAGGTAAACTGCTTATCATCCATGCAAAACGTCTCTAACAGCTTTAAGTGATTCTTGCAAATGTCCTGTCTATCATACTCCACATTTTCCTATTATCATCATTAATTTTCATGTTTTTTGCAAGCATGAAATCAACTACATACATGAATCATTTATGAATTGGAAAGTTCTTAGTTCTACCAGTCTCTGATTCCCATCTCGATATCTCCCATGTACTTCAAGTCCTCCTAAATGTCTCCTTTAGGCAGCTTTGACACTCTCAAGCACATAGGACAAGATATCTGTCTCTCATTCTAAAGTATCATGCTTACATTATCGCAAAAATCTTACATAGTTTGGCTTTAGAATGCTATACTTCTGTACAGTTTAAATGCACTTCTTGCAGTAAGTATGAGTGCAATTAATCAACTAAAAGGGGTATTGGTAAATCTCCTAGCATAAAGGACAGATATAAGATTCGTTTAAAGTTTTCTTATCCATTTTATTAGTATTTCCAACAATATACAAATTCAATATTTAAATTTAATCTTTAAACTCGGGGTTTTGGGGTTTTGGGGTTTTGGGG